TTTTTTCAGTATTTCCAATGGGTTTCAGAAATGAAACCCAAAACTGAACTTCTAGATTCCATAACTTGAGTAATTTTATTCCGATTTTGAAGTTTGATACCTCTATGAGTTTGTAGCTGAATTATCTAATAGTCTACATTTAAATATGTCTATTAAACGAGGGCCACAATTTTGACCCATTTTCATGTTTGATTTTTTCAGTATTTCCAATGGGTTTCAGAAATGAAACCCAAAACTGAACTTCTAGATTCCATAACTTGAGTAATTTTATTCCGATTTTGAAGTTTGATACCTCTATGAGCTTGTAGTTGAATTATCTAATAGTCTACATTTAAATATGTCTATTAAACGAGGGTCACAATTTTGACCCATTTTCATGTCCGATTTTTTCAGTATTTCCATTGGGTTTCAGAAATGAAACCCAAAACTGAACTTCTAGATTCCATAACTTGAGTAATTTTATTCCGATTTTGAAGTTTGATACCTCTATGAGTTTGTGGATGAATTCTTTAATCATCTACGTTCAAATATATGTGTTAGGCGAGGCTCACAATTTTGACCCATTTTCATGTTCGATTTTTCCGTATTTCCAATGGGTTTCAGAATGGGAACCCAAAAACTGCACTTCTAGATTCCATAACTCGGGTAATTTTATTCCGATTTTGAAGTTTGATACCTCTATGAGTTTGTAGCTGAATTATCTAATAGTCTACATTTAAATATGTCTATTAAACGAGGGTCACAATTTTGACCCATTTTCATGTTCGATTTTTTCAGTATTTCCAATGGGTTTCAGAAATGAAACCCAAAACTGAACTTCTAGATTCCATAACTTGAGTAATTTTATTCCGATTTTGAAGTTTGATACCTCTATGAGCTTGTAGTTGAATTATCTAATAGTCTACATTTAAATATGTCTATTAAACGAGGGTCACAATTTTGACCCATTTTCATGTTCAATTTTTTCAGTATTTCCAATGGGTTTCAGAATGGGAACCCAAAAACTGCACTTCTAGATTCCATAACTCAAGTAATTTTATTCCGATTTTAAAGTGTGACACCTCTATGAGCTTGTAGTTGAATTATCTAATAGTCTACAGTTAAATATGTCTATTAAACGAGGGTCACAATTTTGACCCATTTTCATGTTCGATTTTTTCAGTATTTCCAATGGGTTTCAGAATGGGAACCCAAAAACTGCACTTCTAGATTCCACAACTCGGGTAATTTGATTCCGATTTTTACGTGTGATACCTTTATGACCTTGAGGTCAAATTCTCTAATAATTTACATTTAAATATATCTTTTTTACGAGGGTCGAAATTTTGACCCATTTTCATGTTATATTTTTTCGTATTTCCAATAAGTTTATTGAATTTGAACCCAAAACTGCATTACTTGATTTCATACCTTGGGTAATTTGATTACGATTTGAAATTGTGTTACTTCTATGAGATTGTGGTTGGATTCTTTAATAGTCTAGTATAAAATGTTTCTTTTAAGCGAGAGTCAAAGTTGTAGCTTATTTTCATGTTTGTTCAGATATTGTATCATCTCATAAATATTTTCTTAATATTTTTTGTAATAAAAACAAGGGAGAACGCTATAGTCGAGTACCTCGACTATCAGATACCCGTTACTCAGCTAAATGGAGATATGCAAGCAGCAAAGCGAGATTAAAATGCGCCACCTACCGGCGGTATACAGATTTAAGCGTTATGGGCGTTAGAGTGGGCGTGGCAAAATTTTTTTTGGATCAATCGATAGGTATTGACGAGACCAATACATTTCAGTTAAAATTTTTTATCTAGCATGAAAATTGTGGGCGTCACAGGTTTTTGCGGTTTGTGGGCGTTAAAGTGGGCGTGGCAAACTTTTTTTGGGTCAATCGATAGGTATTGATGAGAACATTACATTTCAGTTAAAATTTTCCATCTAGCATCAAAACTGTAGGAGCCACAGTTTTGGGCGGTTTGTGGGCGTTAGAGTGGGCGTGGCAGTCTACTGAAACAAACTTGCGCTGCGTAAGAAGCTCAGGAATCTGCACGCCAAATCTCAATAGCCTAGCTCTCATAGTTTCCGAGATCTCAGCGTTCATCCGGACAGACGGACAGACGGACAGACGGACAGACGGACATGGCTAGATCGACTCGGCTAGTGATCCTGATCAAGAATATATATACTTTATGGGGTCGGAAACGCTTCCTTCTGCCTGTTACATACTTTCCGACGAATCTAGTATACCCTTTTACTCTACGAGTAACGGGTATAAAAATAAATAAATAAAAGAATCCTATTCCAAAAGCTCTATAAAAAGCTTTTGCTTTACACTTTTCCCAAAAGGTTTTTGACTTAGCTAAACACAAACTTTTATAAAGTCGAAAGCAACCTGAAAAAAGTGAAGTGTATATTTAAAAACTATTTAGTGGTTTTGGTAGTTTTCTTTATTTCTCTTTTATAAAGTTATAAAGTACAAAAATTTGCTGCTAAAAAATAGGTTTACAATTTTGTTGCTAATTTACAAAAGACCTACGGGAAATAAAAAGTTCACCAACTGGAAGACAAAAATCGATTGGACACATAAGTACAATACATACTAAAAGACTATGGACGTAAGATATGGTACCAACTAGGAACACACAAGTTATACGAGACAAGACAAGACACTATCTACTGAATCTAAGACAATTATTGCTTTCCAGTTTTCAAATGGATGGAGGTGGGTAAACAAATTCGATTGGATTCTACAAGGGTTAAAAAAAAGAAACCTCCTTCGCTGATCTACCACGCCCACTTGGGGGAGACCTTGTCAAAGTTCCACTCATCGGGATGTCCCTCATGACCGCCGCCCTCCTCCACGGGACTCATCTGGGACCACTTGAAGGGTCCGCTGCCAATCTTTCGCATGGCAATGGCCCTCATATCGTTTCGCACCGGTCGCCGTTCCGTGATGAGTTCCATTTCCGCCAGACGACTATCAGCATCCTCGATGCTCACGCTGAGTCTTTCATCACCCATGGAGGCGGCAGGGGGAGCACCACCAGTACCATCACCATTCTGTCCCGTTTCATCCTCCAAAGCCCTGGGTTGGACATGTTGGAATCGCAGGAAGACAGGACCCGCAAAGGCATGGAAATCGGTAATACCCAGACGGGCATTGTAGGAGAACAATTTCAGATCTATGTTACCATAGGCAATCGACTCCTGACTGCCCAGCAGATCTCCGCGGAAGCCATGGGTACGCAGATACTTGTCCACCGCCGCCAAACTGGTCAACTCCTGCTCATCGGCCACCGAAAGCTGTTGATCTTCGCTGTAGTTCACACCGCTCATCTCCAGGACCTTCTTGAAGTACGGCACTCCGTTGGCCAGCCATGATGAGTTGCCGGCCACCAAGAACTCCTGGGTCACATCCTTCTGGACCATCAAACCAGGCAGCTGCTCCGAGATCCACACCATATCCTTCATCTGATCGTGACGCTGCTGTATGGCTGTCCTATCCTTCTCGTTCAACGTCACCGCAGCATCGTCATGCTTGTCATCACCCTCGAGGACATTATACAGATTGTCCTGCACCTTCATCTTGTTCAGATCCACGGTGATCCACTGCTTGGCTCCGGTGAACGGATGCCTGGTCATGGCACTGGCCCAGGTCTGTCGGCTCTGGGATATCCGATTGGCAGCCATGACACGAGCCACCAAGGGCACCATCTTCTTGGGATCCACCCCCTGCCACAGCTGCAGATTCTCGTTCTTGATGCCAACACCTCCTACAATGGCATGCAGATGACGACCCTTGATGGTGTAGAAATCATCGGTGGATCCGAGAATGCCAGGATAACCGGTGAAGGTAATATCCACGCCAGGCACCGTATTACTCCTTAGCTTGGGCGAGAAGTGGTAGTGGAACTTGTAACGCTTCTGGATCCTCAACATCGACGAGTAACTTCCTGCCGTACTATGACCAAAGAGCAGTTGAAGTTCCTGTGGCGACTCCTCCTGCTGGACAATCTTCGTCAGCATGGAGGCACTCGGCAGGAAGAAGTTCTTGGGCTGATCCGTAACCGATTCCTCGGCATGTTCCGTATTATTGGGCAGCACGTAGTTCTCATAGTAGATCTTAAGATCCTGGATATCGGCAGCGGCGTTCATAAGGAGAAAATCGGAAAATGGTATCTCCTCCTCCAGGTCGGAACGAGCTCGAGATGCTCCACGTTTGTAACCCGTTTCCAGTCCCTCCAACTGGGTGATAAACAAATGCAATTGATGCCAGTAGTGATCGTTTTCAGCCTTATCAGTCTGCCTCTTCAAGCGATTGTAGTTGTCGGTCAAGAGGTCCCGCAGCCAACCGCAGAATTTCTGGGTGCTCTCATCCCGCTCGCAGGAAGAGGAAATTGTACTGTAAGATGGGAAAATCTCATTAGAATCTTAAGGTTTATATATACTATATATAAACGTACTTGGACCACTGATTGTAGATGTTCCTCCAGGTCAGCGAACCTTCGAGCATTCCAGCTGCATAGGCCTGCACCCAATCCGGGTAAGTTCGTTGGGTCTCCACCTCAATTTGGGCCCATCTTAAAAATATTATCAAAAATTAAATTCGAATCTGAATTTACTTAAAGTCTAAAAGTTTTTAGTGCAGAAGACCCCTTACCCATTCTCATAAACCGAATCCTTGTAGCAAATCCTCCCCACACCCGTGGGAATGTTGACCAGATCGTTCTGCTGCTTCCAGTTTTCAATCTGGAAGCCCACCTGCTTGGTCCACAGAGCGGTGGCACAGTAGGTGCCATCGTACTCCGGCCGCTCCATGTACCCGATAAAGAAGGCTCCGATAACCAAGAGACCAGCACCGATTAGGATGTAGGTCCCTATCCGCGTTTTTTGCCACGATGCACCAACGACTTTCAACATTGTGCCGGCCGTCCTGAAGCTGCTACGATTCAAAGAAATAAGATGCTTCCGAAAAACGATCCAAGAATCACTAGTATTCCAATGTTCAGATTCTACTCGATTTTTGATGGGGACTTAACCCAAATAATTGTGATCGGCACGAGCGGCGTAGGAGTGTCCAAGGCGGTGGGCAATCAGGTGGCCAGTGTGCAGATGGTTCTGTGGATGGATGGTGAAGGTGCTGGAGGAGCAGGAGGTGCTGATCTCGGTGGCCACGCTGTTGAGCGTCTTGGCCGAGTGGTTCATGGGTGGTGCACTGCTTTCAAGCAGAGATTCCAACGGTTTCCAGGTGTTTATATTTGCGTAACTATTGCCTTTAATTGGTTTCGGTGGTTGGCGGTGGGTCTGTGGACTTTGGCTATGTCTTTTGAGGTTCAAGTTGTATCCCTGAAAAATAGAGAAACCCAAGTGATATATTAGAGACATGCACGAATCATATATCAAGACATATGACGTCTTGATGGAAAGTTTATTTATGCCATATAACAGCCATTCATCAGTGTAAATATTTATCCTATAACTAAAGAAAATAAACATTTCAAAGATTTCTGTTTTCATTGCCTTTATTACTGCATGCTAATTAAATATTATAACCTATACCGGAATCTTCCAATGATTCGCCCTTGAACCATTTCCAATATTTACACACTTTCCCTGAAGATCCCATTATCCAAATATTTATTTCACACTTTCGCTACCTTTGGCAAAGGAAATTCTTTTTTTGCAAATCCCGTGGTAAGTGGTAAACAAATTTAAGCATTTGTAAAACTAATAAATTAAGTTTATGGCTCGGATAGTACTCGAGTAGCCGAGTTGCTTTATGGCCAACACAGCAGCTGGGGAAATTCTAAGAGTGTGCTAAAAAAGCTAAGCAGGTGCTTACCTGTTCTACAGATCTGGTATAAAAATCTACATAATTAAATAATCCTCAAGATCGTAATGGAATGTGGATGGTAGAAACAGCGGAAAACTTTCAATCAGTTTATTTAGCTTGTCTTGAGACTTGTCCTTACTTAATTAATAAACAACATTATGATTACAAAAACCAAATTGCTTTTTGCATCTATAAATAATACGATTTCAAAGCCAATGCCAGCACGTTGAAGATCTTGCACAATCCCTAATGTAAATTGGAAATTCTATTCGGAAATTCCAAATTAAACCTGTACTAGGCGGGGGTAAACAATTTTATTGTGTACATTTGGCACGTGGGGAAAAAATTCCAAATTCTATCAAAAGTATCGAAAATAGATTCTTTTTTTTGCAATATTTTGAACAAATCTGGATGGTATTAACATCAATCAGTCAGCATGCTTATACAATTAAACATTTATATTGAATGTGTATTCGTAGATTGTTTTCTCTGATTGTGATTAAATGTATCTTATAATTCTTTGGTTTTGTCGATATTTAGAGGAGAAAATATTTATGGGACTTGAATTTATAATCATTACCTTTTGTTTCCCGGGTCCAGGAAGCTGCAGTATCACAAGTCAACCCATTTGAAGAACTGGAAGAAATGAAAATATACGTTTTGTTTAGTTTAATATTCGATTATCTATAATTAAAAGGCGCCTTTAACTTAAACATTTCCTCAGACATTTGGTCAACGTTTTATTAATTCGTTTCTTTGTTTATTTATTCAACTGGTCGCACGTCTCAAGATTTGTCTGATTTCTGCCGACTTATAGTAAGAAGTCTGGAGTGTCTTTGTTTACTTGGGATTCGATTGGACATCGCTGAGCAGGCGCACGCTCTTATTATTGTTGGCTTATTTGTCATAAAATGTTGATCATGGCAATTACTGGATATACGATATGATATATGATCGCTAATTGACTGGTGGTCTTTGTTAAAGAAGGAGAGGCAATTGAGTTCTTAGAAATCTTAAGGGGGTTCACATTGACCAATCAATAACTACTTCTATTTTCTAATAATCTTATCCCTAATAACTCTTAGTACCATAAGTGCCTGTTGTCACAACCCTTAATCGCCACAATTGCGATTGATAATATCAAGACCTGGAATTTTACTATGACTGAGTACTTAATTGATACGTTGGGAAGCTTTAATAAAGTCTAGGAGTTATGGCAAAGAGTCGTTAAATTAAATGAATGCGGGAAAATTTTATTGTTCAGTAACAGTTCCTTTTCCAAGTATTTAAATCGTAAAATTTCCACAGTCATTTAACTGAAATGCCAGTTTGATAACCTGACAGCTAAGCTGTTTTTGCAAAACGACTTAATTAACATGGTAACTGAAACCTTTTTAACTGAAACAGTTTAACTTTCAAATAACTCTTAAGTGAGGTTTTTGGTTCTGTGACTAATCAGTGGGCGTGAAGCTATAATCAATGATCTCAAGGCCCAGTGTAAACAATTGAACTGCAAATTATAAAAAAAAATCTAAAGTAGCAACGGAAATCTGTTCATTTCACTCATTTCCATTTCATTTCGCTGTGAAAATAAACAGCATTTAAGATAAAGTGAAAAGAGTCAGCCTCAAGACATCAATCGTTGAAATCAATGAAAAAAGTTTATATTTTTAAACATATTAAAGGTAATCCATAACAAAACTTAATTGACTTGCCCTCTTTGAAGGCTGTACACCTCAACGGATGCCAATATATGTATATGGAAAATAGACAGATCCAAAACTGACAAGTTCGAGGTAAACTTCAACTGACGTAAGGAATTAGCAGGAAAGCTAAAAACAAACGTAGGATCTAAAATAAAATGGGGAGCATAAAACTGGGGAATGGTTGCGAGATCCCACTGACGTCTTTTCAGCTCATTTAACCAACTTAACTCGATTAACGCTATTATCATTATCGTCGTGCAAACACAGTTGTTTTGTATTTTAGATACATATACATATGTATCCATAAAAATCCTCTATATAGGCTACTGAGCTAGATGTAGTGACAATATTTTCATAGCCCTGACAAAATTATCATATGCATTTACAACCGTTTGTCAGTTGATCAATCATATTTTAGTCGGGGGTAAATAATTTACACAGGCCAGACACAAATCGAGCTTAACTTTTGCTGTCGCCAAGTGAAAAAATATTGATAAGATTGTCAGCATATTTATTAGTTCAATATTTAGATATGCATGTCTAGCTTTTGGCAGATTAAGAACATAAGTTCAATCAGCTGGATTCTATATAGTTCAGTCAGATAAGATAAATCATAGTCTGGCCGCAACGAAAAATTTCCGTACTACAAAGGAAATTTACTAACGAAAATATATATTTTGATATATATGTGATATTTAAGAACTGATCAAGATATTCTTAAGTAATGGTGGTGCTAATTTTCGTGGGTTATAAAAAATATTACACTTGCCAATAATAAAAACCCACACATGTAGTTTTGAGAATTTATGAAGTATGTATATAAACACATGAAATCGACCCACATAATCCTTCGATATTTTTTGGTAAAAACCTGAATTTTTCCATAACTCATTAAAAGAATGTTTCCATATCTATAGAAGGGTATATAGTATACTCAATTATTTTCTTGATTAATAACGATTTTCAATTGGAAACGGAAACTTTTGATGGCTGGTCATAATTTTCATTGTTCATTCATTCAAAATATACAGACTAAGTAAACACTTATAGCATTTTTGTTCTGTCTGCAGTATATAATTCCACAACAAATGCATAATCTTTCGTAGAATTCCGAACGCCACATGTGGCATTAAGTGGAAAGGGGGGATCTCAAAACGTGCCACGTGAGTTATCCAGGAAATAAATTCATTATAAACCGTATTGCATGCACATTTTTATTCACTCCCCCCAGATTATGGGAATCACTGAATGAATGCCCACGAATCGTCAACTCTGCATAATTATTTGCTTTTCATGGCATTCGATTGGGGTAACGTGAAAACTGCTAACTTGGCCGATGCCACGCGCCGCTATCCAGTTGACAACGCCGCCGATTTTGATAAGCCCCATGTCCGAGTCGAAAGTCTGGAGTGAGGGCCGTGTAAACTGATGCCGGGGCAACTAAGTTGGAAGTCAGCAAGGCAAATGCGCCTGTTTTGTAATGCCAGACAGCGCCGCACTGCGGAAGGCATACACTGAGCACAAAAGTAGTAAATTAAATTCACCAAGCGTATTATGATTTCTTTCTGAAATGGTAAACTTAAATTTGGATTCTGAACTTCCTAAAGCTTTTTTCCGAATTCATTATGAAATAACATAAGGTTTCAAACATATACCAGGTATAAAAATCCCCCATCTCATCTTAAACTGGGACTTTGAACTCCCTAAACTATTATTCCGTACTCATCTGCATATTGGAATGGATTATATCTAACATTTTCTGCTTTACTAAACCCTTTTTTTGCTGTGCAGATACTTTATCTTTTGTGGGGACTGCACATTTTCGGTTTGGAGCCCTTGTCGAGTGTTTAGACTACTGACAGACAGACAAAACTCGAAGCGCCGCGTCGCGACGTCTGAGAATGGGGGATCGGAGATCCGGACAGAATTTCTATTATTCACACGTGGACGGGACAGGTTATTTTATTTGAGTAAGGCGAAATTTATGGGTAGCGTCTGAGCGAGTTGTTAAGACCCAAAAGGCGTAGTATTCCCTTTAAATGCCATCGAGTTCACTCATCTCAGCTGATGCGATTCAACACGCTCCAATCGAATGATAATCGAGATGCTAACCACTCAACCAGCTTATCGCAAGTGAGTTGTGAATGATACGATCAGTCTGCTGATTTAATCAGATTAAATATGGCAACAAATGTGTTTATATATTGGATTAGCTAGGGGCTGGTTCGGGAAATTCTAAATTAGTATATGCTAATAGGCGGGGAATAAAAGCGGCATAGAATAGAATGTTCATAATTTGCAAACGATTTGAATTCATGAATAATCATATGTATTAAAAGCGATTTCATTGTCCCCATGATTTTCTTTTCACTTCGTATTCCCAGGGAAAACAATTTATCGAACCCATGATATAAGCAAATGATATAACTTCCTCCAAATATTACACCCCTTTGAAAGGTTTGACTTTACGTAAGATCCCCATTATTTGGATGTATAATTTTGTATACTTTTTACGGGTGTTTTGTTTGATTTGTTGAATTTTTTTTTAACAATTTGTATGCATTGTTTATATTGTATTATTCATAAAATATTTTCTTGTCCTGAATTTTATTTTTCTTCTGTCAATGCGTAGTTTTGTGTTATTGTTCAAATGTCAATGGCACAACAAGCTAAGAATAATAATATAATTCTTGAGAGCTTTTTTGGACGTATCAATTTAGTAACTCTGATGCAACAGAAACCGGTTATTTTAAAGAATCCCGCGACTGATAAGTTCGTTTACCCCTTTTGATAAGTCACTTACCAAAATCTATTTTGCTTTTTAATTAACTGCAATTATCTGAAATTTTCGGGGGGACTGCGACTTAATTTGTATTAAAAATGTTTATATGCCGCGTAAACCGGAAAAATCTGCACTGAATAAGTATCTTAAAGATACAGCGGAATCTCCTTTACGTCAATCTGTTGGCTCGATCGCCCAGTATCTTTTTGGATCGTGCGAATGCCTTGACGTTGCCACCGAAACTGGCGGTGCTTTTTCGACACTCGGCTTTTTGTCTTTCGGGTCTCGGGTTTTTCTAGCCACTCGACGAAGGCGGGAAAATCGTGCTAAATTTTCATACCCGCTAGCCGAAAAGTTCACGGGTATGTGGTATTTTTTACGAAGGTGGGCATTTTGAATCCTATTTGTTAAGTTAGAACATTTATCTGGATCTTCATAAGTAAAATTTTTAGTAAGATATCATTGTGATCCTAAGTTTTGAGATAGTGCACTATATTTTTCACATAAAGTCTTGATATTGAATGGGATTTTACCAAGCAAAAAATAGGTATAGATGTTTTTGACATTTTTTAGCTTCTTCAGCTGTTTCTAAAATATGGAACACATATATGATCATAACAAGAAATTCTGCGATATTTATTAAAGTAAATCCAACAAAATAATTAGGTTAATCCGAGAACTAGGTATTTATTAGTTGGGAATATACGTTTTCGAGCGACGTTCGTCTTTAGCAATCAAAAGTTCTATTGAACTTGGCCGCCATTTTAGAGGAAGGGGTTCGGTTGGGTATTCTTCGGATTGACAGGTGTTATATGCGCTATATAAACAGTCATTCGGTTATCTCTGCCGAAGAAGTGCAATATCGGAGGTCGCAAAACGTGAGGTCTTGGGGTTAATTCAGCAAGGTTTCTTTTGGTCAGATTTGTTTATGGCCTTTATGGCTGATTTATTTGCGCATTATGCACTTGTCTATGCAAACTGCTAACTGACAGGCAATCGTGTTTCCGCTCGGCTACAGTTTTACAATTGAAATTGACATTTAATTGAGCCGCATTTCAGTGCGCAATTGAAAATGGTTTTCCCATGAAAATTGTGGGGCATTCTGCTTCCTCTCATTTTCCGTCTGTGTTTCGCTCTTTGCGCTTTCTAGTGCATTTCACTTTCTTCGCTCGGCAAATTGATAAGAGTCAGTTTTTTGGGGTCAATCAAAAATTCTTGGGGGCCTGCTCTCAATTGAAATGAATTGAAATGGCGACAAGTTTGTCTCAACATGAAGCAAAACACACAGACATTTACATAACTAGAGGGTAAATCGAATGGCGATGGATAACCTTGATTAATCTTTATCTCTTTGTGTTTTTTCTAAACAATTTTATTGACAATTGTCGGTCAATATCAAAGCTCTTAGTGATCGGTATATACGAAGTAAAGGGAGATTTAGGAGAGTCTAAAGAACCTACTTTTATGTTCCCTTTTGTTCAGACTGATTCATCTCCCTGCTTTCCTGTTCTTCTTCTTGTACTGTCTGCATTCCATGTTGAACTCATATACTATACAGTCGAACTTCTTTAACTCTAACTTTTCTATGTCGTTAATAATTTTCAAGCCTGAAATTAAATATTTTTCGTAGTTCTTCCAATTAAAAAATTATAATAGGTTGAAAAATTCTGAGGTAATAAATTCCTAAATATATATCCTAATCCTAACTCTTTTTATTTGTATTCTAAGAAGTTAAAAATATTTAATATATTTAAATAAAGTTCGTTCTTGCTGTTTTGTTTAACACTTTCATAACATTTAAACTAAATCTCTCAAATGTAATCTATTTAAGGCTTGTTTTCATGTCCTCTGATCTTCCTATTTCTCCTGCCGTTGGAGTTAGTGAATCCCTACTGTATGCCAAGCCAGTAAGGACAAGAACCTCAAGGATTTTGACCTCATTTGTCTGGGGCTGTGGGAATCTGAGAATGTGAGCAGGGCAACTTCTCGGAACGACCTGCCCCTCTTGTTGCTTTAATAGTTTTTATTGCCTTTATTTGTTTGCTCAAGAAAAGCAGACTCCGTGGAACATTCATTGAAAAGAGCCGCGCATGCTCAGTGAAACAGAGGCAAAAACTTGTTGCTAGGCAGCAAAAATTACCCCTGCCTTTCCGGCGATCGTTTTTTTTTCTTTTAAGGTAATTTGAGAAGTTTTATCTTGGTCTCTTTTTTTTGTGGAGTTTGTATTCTAGGCCATTGGCTTTTGAGGTTGAACTCTTACTTTTGTTTAAGCGAACAAAAACGTACTTGTTCGCAAGGTTTTCATTTTGCGAAGGTTTTATTTTTCAATTAACTTTTCAATAAACTTAGCTTGATGGCCAAAATGAACTGCTCAGTGGTGAAGCTTGAACTAAACTGCCACAAATTTTGATATGTTTGGAGTCCTCACATCTGATCTCGTGCAAAAATTGTTATCTACTGGAGATAATGTGGATGTTTCAGCGGAAAAGGCACTAAAACGGTCGGACAATCTACGTAAATACGTCAAGTACGAGGTATTTTTGGATGCCCTATGTCTTACTTTTTATATGACATGTTTATTTGGCAAACCTCCACTAGAAGTTCAGTAAATACATCGTGTGGAGTACTGTTTACTGGGTCTTCACCCATGTCAACGATCTGCTCGACACTCATGTGATCTGCTACGATTCCGTTACGATTCAGATACCGAAAACACATATATGTCAGAGTTGTTATTTAACGGATGACTCAACTTCAGAGTAAAGTCTAGCCAATAGCCGATAGCGAAGTCGTTCACGGAACTTAATCAGTGGACTTGAAGAGACGACATGTGCTAAATATGGGCGAACTTATTGGTATTTCCCCGATGAACTTCGATAAGAGTATGGCACATTAAAATCATTTCATAAGTTGATTAAAAACCGCATGGTATTACTAACTTTTCCTTCGAAATCCTGTTCCGCAAATTTAAAAATCACATTCATGGGTGTAGAGTAAGTCAGTTCTTAAAAAGACTAAACAACCCATAAAAAATGGCACAAATACTTTAAAAATTAGCTATTTAATGACGCTATTCATTTTAATTTTAGAACATGGAATGCCTAGAAAAAAACTTTGACCATTATGAAAACCATAAAAATGTGAGAGCATTTAACATTTCCCACAGAGATTTAAAATATATATATATATGTATATATATTTTGTCTCAAACTATCTATTTTTAATATATGATGAATAGAAGATCACGAAAATATATTTTAAGTTTAAACTAATTTAAATGAAGTGAACTAATGATAAAATTGAAGTACGTAATTGTCCTGAAAGGAACATATTCCTTTTGAAGAAATTCATTCCTATTGCTTTAAATCGGAAAATCTGTGAAAAATACAACCCTGGTGAATGAACAGAAGTCACTCAAAGGACAGCCACCCCTATTGCGTCTCATCTTTCGATTCCCGAGCCCCAGATAATCCCTACCCATTGATTGGAAAAAAACACCCAGTCAATCGCAATATGTTGACCCTATTTTTGTCGGTAAACAGATCTTGCGACGCGTTCCCGATTTTCGCCATGGCATCTGGAGGTCAATAATGATACAATGGAACTGTTTTCACTAACTGTTAACACTTAACACCCGAGTTCAGCAGTCTTCTACCGATTCGGTTTCGGAATGATATCGAGAGCGAGGACAACTCACCGGAAAATTGAAATGGCTTGTGACTCAGGCAAATTCCGCGCTGACAAATGAGAGAAATTCGCTGGGGTTTTGAGATGATTAAGGGGCACTATTTGTTGGATCGCTGCTAAATTCAGCCACTGCGAAAATTTGCTTTAACACGATTTTGCTATATAGTCACACAACGCTCTCGTGTTAATTATCCATGAAGGGCTACATTGGAAACGCACTGGGTAAGGTGTATATAACTTTTTACCGATTTCACTCTCTGTTCGATGGGTTTATTAGTGGTTCTTGAGAACTAAACACACACGTTTATTTCGATTAAAAAGTCGTCTCACTTCAGATCTTTTGAAATGTTTGGGACTATTGTTGCTATGCGGCTTGTTTGAAATATCAGCGGCAAGTAACTAATTATACAGCGTGGTCGAATATATGTAATGTGCTGGCTTTGAGTGTTTTATGGGAGAGTTTTTTAGAACGCGAGAACGTGGCGTTTTCTAAATTTTTTATTTTATTTAAACTGAGCGTCGGACGATACTCTTTATTTCTTGTATGTGGTACGTATTTTTAGCGTCGGCAATTGCACATCCAAGTGAAATTGAAAAGATAACAAACGAAGTAAAAACTCGAGTTCAACACGAAACACAGATCGCAGGGAATAAAAGCAATTTTCCTTCCGTTTCGACGATGCGCAGCGGAGAGACTGATATTGTGGGCCTGAGGCCAAAGAGTTTTACGATCGCTCGGAATGGCTGGGTTTTTCACTCGACTCGAAGAGGGCGGTTATTGGTTCGGTCTGTCCGCAGAAAGTACGAGAGCAAACGCTCAACTACACCAGGCTACAAAAACCAAGGAAAATTCTAATATTTCGGTATTATTAAAGAAAGATAAATTGTATTATTTGTATTAACAAACAAAAAAAATTTTAAAAACGAATGAGGTCTTCTTAAAATAATTTTCAGATTTTTTATTAAAGGTAAAGTTAAGATAATGGTGTACTTCAATACTATTAAAGACCGATATATGATATTATTTATATTAAAAACCATGAGGAATTTAAAAAACCAAAATGGTAGTATTCCAATTATTTTCAAATTTCTTAGTAAAGGTAAAGTAAAGATAATGATGTGGCAATCTCTGTAAATGGAAGATCTTAAATCCTTTATTGTTTTTTTATAATTTTTGCATTAATATATGTATAAATTTAACATTATAGCCGAAAATTTTATATATAATATATTTTATGTTAATATAAAAATTAATTTTCATAAATTTATAAGTAGTTTAGCAAATTTTGATTAACTATTATTGGCGGAGCTTAGTTAATGTGATTTTTCCTATTTCCCCTGTAGCTCAGTGTTTGAGTTTTTTTTCCACTCATTTGGCAGCCGGTGTGTGAATAATCTCACCTTGCTCTCCCTGAATTTTTTACTCCGATCTTTCGGACCTGGCAACGAACTCTCTTTTTTTAACCTGGCGAATTGATTTCATGTGCATATGTAAATTGAACAGTTATTCGTGACGTCTTACGGCGATACCGCTATGGGTTTTCGAGTGGAACTCCGCCCCTCAAATCGCTTATAGCAACAAAGTGGGCAAACAAAACGTGCGGCGATAAGACCCAAGTGATATGGCGGAAATGCTCTCAGCCTGATTAATTTGGGTACCCTAAAAAGCGACAGGCGCGGAAATTCGCACAAAGTCGTGGATAAATAGTAGGAAAAAGTACAGTTTGGCTTTCTTATCACAGGTTTACCTGAACAAACAATCGCATTCCCTGCAGGTGGAATGAGTAATCCCGATCGAAATAACACCTGAGCGGAAGGCATTTGAATGAAATGAATGGCAGACCGTGGCAACCAAGTAAAATAAAAATGAAACGATTTTTAATTTAAGAAATTATTATTTATCGGTCAATTTCAGGCATTTACCCAGGCTTATATGCTAATAAGAAGTACTCCCAGTTTATACATTCTTGGGTTTATTTTAAATCTTGATAATATTTTAAATTTCCGTTATATTTGAGAACCTTTCTGAGGGTTGTCTTGTATGGGAACTTTGCCAACAGTTGTTCAGCTGGTTCCATAGTGTAGCGGTTATCACGTCTGCTTTACACGCAGAAGGTCTCCGGTTCGATCCCGGATGGAACCAGAATGAAATTTAATTTTTTAAAATTATTTTTTGAAATATTGAAAATTTTTTTTTACTCAAAATTGGTCCAATTGCACACAAAACTCCCTAGTTACTCTTAAGGCCTAGATCGCTTGCTTAAAAAAATTAAACACAAGGTAACTGGACAAAATATTTAAGAAATACATTTTTTCATAACGTTACTTATTTAATTATTTTTTTTAAAACAAACCCTTTTTTATTCTTTTTAAACGATTTCCAAAAATAATAATAAATATTAAGTTTAATTGCGTTTAAAAAGCAAGGTAGCTGTTCTTAGAGTTTTCCTAAGTGCGTTAAAAATATTGCTGGCTCTAAAAACAAATTTAGGAAATAAAAAAAAATTATTTAAAATTAAAAACAAAAAATTGATTTCCTCCTGGTTCCATCCGGGATCGAACCGGAGACCTTCTGCGTGTAAAGCAGACGTGATAACCGCTACACTATGGAACCAGCTGTCTCAAGGCCGTCCAAATTTCAGTTTTGTCCAGAAAGGGGATGGAAATCCATAGCACGCACATAAGCTGATAAATAATTTCCGTATTATCGAATTTGTAGCACACTTTTTAACTGTTTGCTAAACTCAAAAAGAAAATTCCATATGAATTCCAAACAAATAAATAATATTAACAGTCCCGCATTAAATCCAAAGACATCTGTGAGTATAATATTTTTATTTAAAAGCCAAGAGCACATCAATAATACCTTATGTTTGTGCCTATTCGAGTAAAATCTTGTTTCTACTTAATTATAAGCATTATAAAATAGATATAAGTTAAAAATTAAAATTACAAACACAGTTGTAAATGTATTGCACCGTTGTTCAACCTAAAAAGTATGTCCTAAACAATAAATCAACAAAAACTAAGGTCTAACAAAAAGGAAATTCGCTGAGCAAATAAACTTGAGGCTGTAGAAAATCAGGATTAGCAGTAGAAGAAACCAAAACTGGACGCGCAGACCGCTGAGGAAGTGCATCTGGTCTAGCAGTCGATTGTCCTTCCAAAACTCCCTTCAATATCGCCTGGCAGTTGTGGGTCTGGGAACGCCCGAAGTCCTTGGCCTGGCGGATTTGGAGCGCAGTGGATTGGACACTCCATCGGTGTTGTAACTGAGATAGACATGCGAGAGATCGAGGAATTCGGGTTCCTTGCCACTGGTCTTATGGGCCGAGATGTGCTTCCTCATGTTGTTTCCCGTGTAGGCCACACATTTAAGCTGCCACTCCCCGATGTCCTCGTTCCAGTGGGTATACTGATTGATCATCGATTGGTACTCCTTGGGCACATAGGAATTTAGGACCAACTCGCACAAAGCGAGTTCTCTGGACAGGCTCCTGATATTCTCGTAGATTCCCTCCTTTTCGCGCTGGTGTTCCTGCTGCTGATCTGCCAGCTCCGATTTTACACCCATCAACATCTGCATCACCCGATGGATCTTTTTAGTAATGCCTGTACTGGCATCTTGGAGCGTAGAATACCTCTCTTCAATGTCAATCCTTTCGGTGGCCTTTTGCTGCAGCGTTTGCTTGAGTGCCTCCTCGGATTTCTCATGTTTTTCCAGCTCGGCAATGGATTGCTCTAGCAGCATCTCTTGAGTTTGGGCCTTCTCCAGAAGATTCTCGCCGCCAACAAGGATTTTGCCCTCTAAGGATACCAGTTTGTTACGAAGCGTTTCCTGCTCCGTTTTAGCATGCTCGATTTCCTTCTGATGCTCGTTTTTACGCTGAGCCAGTTCCTCCTTCTCCGCATCGGTTTTCTCCCGCTTCTTCTTTGGTTTCTTCTCCACGGCTTGGACTGTTGAAGACTCCATTTCGATCTCCAGGGGTGCCTCCAGTTCATCATCAGCTGTATCCTCCTCTTCGTCCGAACTGGGCGGCTCCTCCTCCAAGCTGCTGCCCTCCTCCAATTGCTTGCGAAGACGAGCAATCTCCTCCTGAAAGTGACGAAGCAAAGCATCTTTGGGCTCCTCATTGATGTGCATGCGATTCTGGATATTCTTAGCACGACTAGCATAGCGCAGAGTGGATATAGTTTCCATGTAGTTGCTATCCGCTGGACTGATAGTGGCACACATCACGGTCTTCGAGTTACCTCCCAGGGAATCCTGCAGCAGACGAGTTAACTTGGAGTTCCTGTATGGTATATGGGTGCTTTTTCCATCGACCAGAGCACTGATGACATTTCCCAGCACCGAAAGCGAAAGATTGATCTTGGTGGCTTCTTTGAGTCGCTGTCCACTGGCTTGGGTTTTGGACTGCCTCTCGGAACCGGCAAGATCCACCAGCTGTAGCTTACCCATCCTCACATGCTGGACACCACCTTCGCCCAGTTCACTTCGCTCCACAGTTATAGAGAAGATGGCATGGGATCTGGAACTCTCCTCGTTCATTTTGGTGGCTCCCACTGCGCGATTTTTGTTACCCAATCGCATGATATTCTCCAGATCATCGGCGTTGTGCACCACATAGCCGCTGAGATCCTTGACAAAGACCCCTATATCGGGTCTCTCCTTCACCTCCAGACTCTTGCCCACATCCTTTCCCAGCAGATCCCGCACCTCTTCGTTATATATCTCCATATAGCTGACTCGCACCAGGAACTTCTGGTTTTCCTTGGCCTTTGCGATGTGCCCAAAGATATGCGCAAACGCATTGGGAATTATGCCCTTTGTTTGCGGCGAATCCGGGTTTCCAGACATGGTATAGGTTTTCCCAGTGCCCGTTTGTCCATAGGCCAGAATGGTGCCATTATAGCCCTCCAGTACCTTGTCCACAATCGGACGAGCGGTGTCCACATAGAGATCCATTTGATTGGAACCCCCATCGAATACATTATCGAAATAGTAGGTTTTCGGTGGTTCATTGGCCGTGGCATTGGGTTTCATCACCGTTATGGCCCGGTTGATCTTATCCACGGATATTGCACTTAGCGCTCCGGCGGACAACTCATTTTTATCCATGGGTCGGGTTCGCACCACCACACGCACATTCTCGATTTCGTCATCGAGCTGGGCCGTTGTCCCGTTATTTCCCTCGTCCTGCGGCATTATGATGTCAATCCTGGGTCCTTCGATTTAATTCCCTATCCAGTGAGTTCTATTATCCACTTTTTGCGCTGACCGCACTTAGTGGAAATCGATATAGGGGGTTTTTCTTCGCATTTGTTTATGCGTTGCTAGGTTTTTTTTTGCGAATGATTAAACGACGGGTAGTCAGCTGTTATGGGGAAGTACGAAAAACTAACGAGAGGTGGAGAGGTTGCCAGATCAGCGGATAAAGGTGGTAAGTGCTAATTGGAAAATACCAAATAAATGATTTTATAAATATTTTACATAAGTTGTAATGAGGAACATAAAAAATACAGAAAAATATACATCTTATGTATAAATATATATAATGATGTTTAAGAAATATTTTATTTAGTTTTTAAAAGGTTGCAAAAACGCAAGCACGTTAGTAACACGTTAGCCCCCAAAGATCTACTACGTTTTCTGATGTTTTTAGCAGCTGTAGTAAAAAGATTCTTAAAGATATCATCAAGTGGTTGCCAAAAATCAGAAAAAAACTTAATACCAACAGGTTGTTCCAGTTGAATTATTGGAAAGTATTAAAAAAAAAGTTAAAAGTTTCCTAAATCCAAAGAACATTTTAGAATGAACTAAACTAAGAAAAATAAATATTTAAGAAAAACACAGACAAATAAAAATTTAAAAAGAAAATATTCTTAAAAAAATTAAATTAAAATTCTAACCAAATAAATAAATATATTTTAAAATACAAATTATGCAGTAACAAAATGTGAAAGTAAAAATACCAACTATCGCCGAATAAACGAGTTCATGGATAGAGCGGGCGAGAAAACATCTGCCCACCACCTCCGCGAGAGAGTCCCGAAGAAGAGGAAGACTTTGTGCCAGTGGAACTAAAAGATTCGATTGGCGATTGGCTGCCCGCAGAGTTTCCTTTACACGACCAGACGACGCAGAAATTAAAACTCCGGCCACCATGGCAGCGACATTGCGAAGATTCCATGGCTTGAGAATGCTGAAATCCGCGCCAGCACTCAACCTGCAGCAGGTAAAAATCGGGAGATACGAAGCCAAATTTTCCATAGTGTGCCGTCACAACCCCCTGAAGAAGTCGTGTCAATTGGAGAAAAACATCAAATAATATGACTCCCAGGGATAAATTGCAAAGCCAAGTAGTCCGAATGAAACGGTATAGTGAATAATACTAGGGATCCCCAATCTTATGGGTCCCGCACTGCTTAGATACGAACCGAACACCCCAATTATGTAACTCCGTGCAAAAATTCGTACTCTCCTTGGCCGACCGAGAGATTAATATCGTATCTTCTCTCCTTGCAGGCGAAGAACCTCTCCTCCGCCAGCAGTTGGGCAAGCGGCAACAAGAAGGTAAGTTTACGAGTCAGGAATCCCAGATATTCCCCTACTTGGCATTTCATAATACCCGAACGGACCTAACCTCAAAACGCGTTTGCTTCTCGGTGACTGTGTGCGGGTGTACGTGTGTTTGTGTGTGCGGCAAACAGCTGATCGGAGCCGTGGGAGCGATTACCGGCGGAGTAGGAGCCCTCCTCTTCGCATTGGAGCAATCCGTGCAGGCCTCCGGCGGAGAGGTGCACGCCCACGCACAGGGCTGGAACCACAAGGGCCTCTTCGACGCCTTGGACCACCAGAGGTAACGTAGTGGAGGGATATCCCTGGTTATACTCTTAAGAAGTCTGGAACTAGAGATTTCTACCTATTCGAGATGCTTATAAAACTCTTCCAACCAAATTTGGATGGATATTCGGTTGGAATAAATACTTGTTAGAAAGATAGTACCCCGGTGTTGTAAACATACCCGTCAAAACCAAAACAGTGTTTTTAAAACACAGTTTTTCGAACTTTGCAAACTAAATTGTGCCAACACGGTATGATATTCTAATCTCAAAAATTTGATAAATCGTATTCAAAATGTACTGATAATAATCAGTATAATAGTTCTGATGATCGACCTTAAAAAATAATATTTATGGAATGTTGTTTGACCTTTATCAAAAAATTTTGTAAAATTGTATTCTGTACTGTACTTTACTATATTGCAGATTCCTTAATTAACTGATTAACTTAAATTAAATCTTTTTTTCCAGCGTTCGCCGTGGCTACGAGGTGTACAAGCAGGTGTGCTCCGCCTGCCATTCGATGCAATACATCGCCTACCGCAATCTGGTTGGTGTCAGCCACACCGAAGCCGAGGCCAAGGCTGAAGCCGAGCAGATCACGGTAAGTCCTATAAGATTCCTTAATCTATATAGTAATTAATGGAGGTTTATATTACCAAAACAGGTCAAGGACGGTCCCGATGACACCGGCAACTACTACACTCGCCCCGGCAAGCTGTCGGACTACTTCCCCTCGCCTTATCCCAACGAGGAAGCGGCCCGTGCTGCCAACAACGGTGCTTATCCTCCGGATCTGAGCTACATCGTGTCGGCGCGCAAGGGCGGAGAGGATTATATCTTCTCCCTGCTGACTGGCTACCACGAAGCTCCTGCCGGAGTGGTTCTGCGCGAGGGCCAGTACTTCAACCCGTACTTCCCGGGTGGTGCCATTTCCATGGCCCAGGTGTTGTACAACGAGGTGGGTAGTCTATCTATCAGAAAACTTTTTCTTCTCATAGGTTCTTGTATTTTGATTTTCTACTTTCGAAAAAGATCTTCAAAGTTAAAAATTTTAAGAGAAGTATCTCTAAAAGAGTTCCTAAACTTTATGAACAACTTGACAATCTTATTTTTCTTTCATTATTAAAATGGTAATGTTTTAAGTAGATCTTGAAAAACTTCATACAATCTACCAAGCTATTGAATTTATCTTTGAATATTTTTCAAGGATGCGAAATTCTGTACTTTCTTATTGGGTGTATCACAGAAAAGAGATAATTTCTTAATTTAAAAACGAGAAAAATCTATGATGAAGATAAAGTAGTACAAAATTTGATTGCAATATTATAATGGATGTCCCTCTTTTCAGGTCATTGAGTACGAGGACGGCACACCGCCGACGCAGAGTCAGCTGGCCAAGGATGTGGCCACTTTCCTGAAGTGGACCTCCGAGCCGGAGCACGATGACCGCAAGCAGCTGCTGATCAAGGTGATCGGCATCCTCGGCTTCCTGACTGTCATCTCGTATTACATTAAGCGACACAAGTGGTCATCGCTCAAGTCGCGAAAGATCGTGTTCGTGCCCAAGGAGAAGTAGAATGTTTGAATTTGATTTTGATGGTGTGAAGAATTGCAGTGTTATCGCGGCTTTACCGACTAATAAAGATAAATCAATTTTAAGCAAACCCAAACACACAAAAAAAAAGAACAGCAACCACCAAGTCAATGTTCTCTCTCCACAAAGAAATAAACATAAAACCTATGCCATTTGCGAGAGCCAACCAATTACGATCCAATTAAAACTAGCTAAATCTTGGTTATGCCCAAACCAAACGAAGATCAGATCGGAAAATTCAATAAGAGGGGAATTAAAGCTAAAGAAACTACCAGAGCCTAGCAAATGATGGATAATACATATAACATTGATTGTGTATAGCAAGGATATTTCAATTATGTATTTAAACAATAAACAATTGACAAATAAACGGAAATGATTGTTGAAAATCATTCCCGAGATGCGGTGAAGGGGAATTCTGGTATTTTGGGAAACAGAGATTTTATATAATTTCTTGGTCCCAACATATCCAAAAATTTAACATGACTAAGTTATGAGTTCCATTATTGGGTTTATTTTCTAATTTCTCATCACTATAAATAAGCATAAAAAGGAACCTATAAGGAACTGTAATCAGCATTTCAGCATTTAAAATTTCCGAAATCAATTTAAGCTCACAAAACAAACAAATTCCAAATATAACCGGCATTAATCTCCATCAGTATTCAATTTAGAGGGTTTCTTAATTTATTTACCCATTGCCATATAAACTCGAATTTTTTGTGTAGGCGGCATACCAAAAATTCTGTAAATTTTTTAAAGAACTTAAGTTATCTCATATCCCATCAAAAAATAAATGTGGAAGACCTTTCGTCATTTAAAGGGATTTGTATATAGTTACACGCAATAAATGACGACAGGTACTTTCCACTTTAAACCATTTTATTGGATTAATTGTTTTATTTAGAAGCTTAAATTAAAGTATTATTTTAATCATCGTTCATCATTCTGTCCACTCGATTTCCTCATCGGCTTAGTGTGTGTGTGTGTGTTTTTATATATATCTATAATTTCCACTTTTCAATGATTATAAATCGCGTCCCTCGTCCCAAGCGATTCGGGAGGAAGATATTGAAAAAAATAAAAAACAACTAAATATCGCTTCAATAAAAAACTTTCGTACTGGCGCCGTCTACAAAAAATCTGTTCGACATGTTGTTTTATTTAAATTAATATATATTTTGCTTTATGTATATAATTAATAAATTTTTAGTTTAGGCAAAAAACAATAATTACGCTTCTCCTTTCAAAGAACTTCGCTCTCATGCTGTGATCCTATTTAATCTTTATCATTTTCATGCTTTGCTTTTCTGTTCGATTAGTTTACGGATTTTGTTTGCTGAGTTTAAATTATAATCTGATTTATCGCGTCTCTCTCATAGGCATTTACTCGTTTCTCTCGCTGCTGTTTTATTTCTTATTTAAGAAGTTTTTTCTTTGTTGTTGGGACTGAAGTAGAAGTAAGGTAACCAAACACGATGACATAGTTCATGACGGAAGGGACGACGACGACCTTTTCATAGTGACGCTTCTATCGCATTTTTCGCTGCTGTTCCCTTTACTTATAGTATAGCTTGCATTTGGTTGTTGTTGTTGCCACAATAACCGCACTCGATCTTTATTACGTTCATTATAATCATTCGCTGCCGCCGAAAGCAACCCGAAGGAGCAGCCGCCACACAATCTTTGCCACGAATTTGGCGACCTTGGTCTTCGACTTGGACTGATGGGGTTTTCCTGCTATTACTGGGTGTGGATGCTGCTCCCGCTGAAGTTGCAATCGTTGCTGCTGCAGCTGCTGCTGGTGTTGCTAACGGATGTTGTCGACTAAAAACAGCTTCCTTCTGGCGGCTGTGCCAGCTTCAGGTTCTCTTTCATGGTCATAATCCTACGGATTTCCTGTAGCATCGTTTTTATAGTGTAC